AACTGCCGAGAACATACAAGGGAGTAGACGAGAACTTCATTCATGACCACTCCAAGTACAGTTATACAGGCGGTGATTTCACGAAAAGTAATGAAAACCCTGGCGATCGAAACAAAGCCAAATCGGCAGACTAATTAAATGAATGGTCACGGTTCTTAAGTAGACGGTGGCTGGGCAGTTTTATGCGAAATATCAAAATTACAAGACCCCAAATTAGCATATAATACAAAAGAGGAAAAATAAGATATCAACTGCATGAAATGCGTCATTTTGTGGGATACGGCAATTCATAAGCAAAACCACTACAATCATCGCAAAAATTGGAATAAATTTCCATGTTTGAGTTTAAATAAAGGCCTCCATTAACCATGCCCGATATCCAAACATTACGTTGATGAAACCAATTGGCTTATGAGAACTGTACAATTCTATCCAACAATAAAGACACAATGCGATGGAGCTAAGACTGAAGCCTCGAAAAGCAACTGCCTCAGAGGCGACTAAGGATGTGCCACCATAACGGCAAGTTACTGGTCCATAAAAACTAGTATGTAAAAATTAAATCGGCAATACAACAACTAGAAGAAGCAATGATTGTCGAAAGACAAGTGGGCAAATTAGTTGCCGTTTTGAAACTACATTAATTGCAATTTAGATTAAAACCGTGCTTCAATTAAAAAGCAGATCAAAATTTCTTGATTGATTAAACAAACTGCGAAATAATAGTAGGACATAGAGTGCATGGAGACTGATGATTAAGGTCGAGACACCACCCAAAATCATACAAATGAAGTCGTACCTTCATAAACAAACGTACATTCGTGAGACCAATGCGGTTTTCACCGGAAATAAAGCTAGACTGTGAACTAAGGCAGTTACCACGACCACTTTTGACATTTCGTGGTGAATTCCTACGAGCAAAATCAACAGAAAAATTGTAACGGTTACACAAGCATACACACTTCGAGAATGCGAATCCGATCTTAACTAAGTCGTTTAGTTCGAAAAGTTGCAAATTGAATGGCTCAGTGGTACTTGTTCCACTATACATCAGTTTCACATTATAACGTGGATCGAAATTCATAAATAACAGTTTCGTTTCACTTTATAAGACCCAATTCTTCATCTAAGACGAATGTCACTTTTTCAAAAATCGCAACAACAGTCTACCAAGGGTAATCTTATGGGAGTAAAATCAAGGTCAGGTCGAATTCCCATTGGTAGCTATTTTACTTATAAGGTCACGTGTCCCAGTTTGCAGATCCTCCAACTCCATTTTGAAGAACCACCTCAAAAGCGAACATGATCGTATTTTAGAATGTACAGACTATCTGCATAAAGTCCCTCTGCAGCAAACGCATTTCAAGTCAATAAATAGGTTAGTGCATTTGGGTGCAATGCAAGAGTGATGAATTGCATGGCCATTAAATGTGGTGAGCCAGATATTTAGGTTGTGCAAAGATAGCTTCAACAACCAAGCATCGGGAAGACATAATCACTATCCAATTAATTACTGTGAGAAGAATAAAACAGAAGCAAAACAGTGTAATTTCACAGTCGTAGGCCATAACCGACTTTATAGAGAATAAAAAGCGTGGAACGTACAGTACGCATTTATCTCTAAGTACTTAAATCAACAAAAGGTTCGGTTACGAAAATGCATAACCATGCTTGTATTAGGCAATCAAGGGAGCACTTCTTTTGTCCACTTTCAAAATATCATGTGAATACAAATCAAAGTGTTAATGTGTTTTCGTGGTGAAACCAAATGCTTAATTAAAGGAGGCTACCTAAAGACCTGGCCTGACTTCTAATTGACCCATGCGGGTAGAGCCGATTTACGACCTTAGCACTGCACGCTACAAGGCGACCGATGCAATTTACTAAAGCTCTGGTTCAATGACAACGAGTTTAACAGCAATTCGTCCACAAACCAGCCACAAGGAAAACGACTTACCAAGTAGTTCTGCTAGTGCACGGAGTTCGTTGAGATCGCCGTATTCTTCTGCGCGGAAGCGGTGAGAATCAGGAGAGGGCACCGTGACAAAACTCTTCAGCAGGGGTGAGTAGACAAAGTTACCCAAGTAGGCCTGCTCGATAAAGTTGTCAGCATACCACTCGGAGTAGTGCGTGGTCAGTGTGGAAATATTCTAGAATATTATTGCACGGTTCATAAGACACTGCACGCTAATTCACCAATTTCTCGGAACTACCAATATAACGAAAAATAATCCAAAAAAGACACTTCAAACTTTAAGGAAGAGAACGTAAGTCATTCAACGCCAGATAAACCCGTAATGACAACTTAACGACGCGCCTGGATAGCGTGATGACAAAAATGCGGCCAGTCCCAAGGGTTTAATGTCCCAAAAACATAAATTCCGAATTTTGATTAACGTCGTCAAATCCACCAAAACTGTGCAAGGTGGGAAAGAGAGAGAGGGGTCAGAAGCACTAGCAATCGCCTCTTCACAAGCCCACCTCTCTCGGACAGGGCTACTGGTGCAAACGTGGATCGTGCTCTTTCAACAGGTTCACATCATCACCTGAGCATCTATTGCCATAGTAATCTTGTTAGATACAAGTACTCACATATCCCGTGCATTGTTATCAAAGCGGTGCTCAAACCGTCCCTACCATTGCCATGCTTTGTTGTCGACCAGACAACAGGCCGGTGCAGCCTAGAAACCTGACCAGATAAGATGATCAACCAATCCGAATCTGAAGCCAG